GTTCAAAGTACCACCTTGGACCCTTACCAGTTGAACTGGATGGCACCATACATTATGATCTGCACCACATAATAATGGTATTCTAACAGTGCAATTTACAATAATTAATGTCTCCTAAATTATATTGATGTATCAAGTTTTAATTAGCTTAATTTCTTCAGACAAAAGTCGAAAACATTAGGAGTAGGTGGTGAAAACCAAACCAATTCTACAGCTACTTAGGAGAAAAAAACGTTCCAGTAAAAGTCACACTGAACAAACTGTTGACAAAAAATACAAAAGTTGTGCATATGTATAGACTAAGATGTGCTGTGGGAGCACCACTACTTTTATCCAAGTCTAATTTAATCATAGAATAAAAGAAACAACAATCATAAACAGGCTCCTGTGATACATTCTTGTGCGACGTTTTCTGAAACACTTTGACCAAATAGCTAAAATCTCGAGCCTTTCTTTCGTACTTCAGAGGCCTGATACACCGCTAGTTTTCTGTTCTGTTGGCAAGGCAAAGCAGGCTCCCCTCAGCCACACGCCTGAGCTGTGGAGGAGCCCACATGAAAACTGGATTAGGAAATGCAATCAAGCTGGATTAATTATAGATGCCGTTAGGTTCTACCTCATCTTTGTATGCCTGACTCTACAGATTGCATCCCGCACATCAAAGGAGAGGGCAAGCTGTCAGAAATCTGCACACTCCCAGAAAGTTGCTCCAGCGTACTCAACTCCGATAGCAGCGGGCTGGCTCAGCTGTCATATTAGCGCGTGCTGAAAAAGCCGGGCCAGCCATCAGATCCTCCGCGGACACGTCCAGCTGCATATGTCTCACATCTGAATCCATGCTGCTCCTGTCACTATTCTGGACGCCAAATACAGAAGGTGAAAGCCTGATGCTTTTAGTGCTTGTCATATAATTGTACTAAAAATCCATCAAACCCACAATCGTTTGAAAAGAGGAATAAAATAATTATATAGCAGCACGTGAATGAATCTCAGCACTTCATGTCAGATATTTCTTATTAAGCTTTCCGGCTATTTAAAGGTCAGAGTGCATCTCAAGAGGAGTTTCTTTAAGCTGCCGATAGTCCACATCAGCCCTCAAAGTGCACACCTCCCGCTGCAGACCCCCAAAACCCAACCGCGGCTCGCTGAGAAGACGAGAGGTGATGGATGGCTTTGACTAGTCTGTTGGACAGCTGGTAGCTGGTTCTGAGCCCTGCTGCGTGGACTGACTTCTGCCGTCCAGTCAGAAATCGGAAATAAAACCCCCGGTAAGCCTTTGTTGTCAGAAGTTGTGGGCCAGCGCTCCGACATAATGCCCCCGGCCCCCCTTCCAGCTTCATTCCACGGGAGCGCAACACAGACAAACGCACAGGGAAGCATTATTTTTGCCCTACTGTAGTGAGCAAATCTGTAGACAAAAGACAAAAATGCTTAAGTGTTTCTGAAGAATAAAAAGGTGTTTAAACAGCTCTTGTGTGCCATGTTATAGATGCTATTCTAAATCAAGACGAAACACTAGTTTTCCTAAAAACTACTCCACTTCCAATAATATGTGAGGAGTAGACATAAAATATGCTAGAAGTGCTCCAGAAAAAGCCAAACAGCCCCTCTTTAGGTAACCTGTAATACGGATGGAGTACAGGTTACTTAACTCATTTGCTGCCAAAGTCGTCTATAGACGTCTTTTATGTTTTTCATCTAGAGTGGCTGGGGGACGATCTGCTAAAGCTTGTCCGTAAATATCGGCTTCTAGACAGAGTATGTAGTAACAAATTGACCCTCTAGGGGGCAGTGCCACTTTTGATGGGAGATGAGCATAGACTGTAGGCAAATAAGAAAAAGGGAACGGTTCTATGAGAGAACATGTCGCCGGTGAGACGCAAGTCCAGGAAGAACGGAATAAGGTAGAAACAACATTTTTTTCCTGATGAAAGAAGAGAGAGTCTACTCTTTCTTTTGGTGTGTTCGGTGTTTACATAGTCATAGCACAAACTATTCTGTGGCTCTTGAAAAATCAGTCAAAATGCTAAAAAAAACTCTGGCAGTAATGAGTTAAAATTCTATCGTAAATTCTATCGTAATACAACAGAGATGCTAGATCAGAACAACGCTGTAAAGATCTGCAGCGTCCCCGGCCTCTAAGGGGCCGGGGGGGCCGCACCGTGCCAGCCAAACGTCTCAGGTGCAGGATAAACCTCCCGATAGCTGGAAGCCTACAGCACAGGTCAAGTCAATACTGCCCTGCTGCCCCGGCTTCCTGTTGAGAAAACAGAAGCACTCGCAAACTTTAGTGTGTGTGCTCTGGATAAAAGGCATTTTATCCTCGCTGTTTAATAAAACAAAAATGCATGGTAGGAAACCTGCAATAGAAAGAGTCAATTTACCTTCTTAAAACCAATAAGAATTAGCTTTAAGTGTCATGAGGAGGCAAGATCCAGTCAGTACTTCCCACACAATAACCCACACACCATGGCTCTCCTCTAATCCCTCGCTCTCCCGTTTGTTTTTCTCTTACAGAGTGTGTCGTTTGTCAGTATGTGTTAGAACCTGAATGGATCCTTTCCACAAGTAGGCTGGTTTATAGGAGTTCCAGTTGTTTGTCAGTAACACTGTCTATATTCGAGTCCATCAGTCAGCGGGAGTAATCGTTTCTGCACATGTCGGATTCATCGCTATTGCTAAAGAGTGGCGCTTACTCTCACAACGCAGTCAGTAATATATCTATTTGCTTGAATTAGGGGGGCTTTTACCACAGTGGCAAGAGCAGGATGCCTCCATCCTGATTCATTAGTTAAAAAGCACCCTAATAAATTCACCACTTTTAATGTTCCAAAGTCCTATTAAGGGCATGCTGAGGCTCGCACAGCCCTGTTTCCCATTACAGCTTTCAATAAATGACAATCAGCACTCAGTCTAAACGAGAAGGAGGGGAAGCATCAGACTTTTCACTCTTCCTTTCAAAGCCCTCCTAATGGCACATAAAGACTTATTAGGGATTGTGTGCTGGTGCTTCAGAGGAGGAGGCACTTTGTTCTGGAGCTGCACAGACTTAAGATAATGAGTGGAGTCGCTACTTGACTGCAGATAATTCACATTGCTCAGCACGAGAGGTTCAAGATCAGTCTATATCATTTACACAGGAGCATTCATATATAAGTCCGCTGGTGAGAGAACTGGGGTGGAAAAGAGAGCGATAAGCTTTCTTTTAAAATAAGCGGACAACATTGGACTCATCCCATTTGTCTAATTTCAGCCTCCACTTCTCCTGTTTCTGTCCTCCTGCCAGGGGTTCGGATATCCTTGACAACCTACTATAATGGGTGTTCCGATTCCTAAAATTTGGAGGAGAAGAGAGGAAGAGGGAGGAGCTGTGGGCATCGATACTCCCGTGTGTCTTTACAGAGCTCTTCTGAATGAAAATGAATTTTAAGAAGATTTCCACCGTCACAAAATGACTGAATTCACATTTGACGGATACATTGAAATAAAACAGAGCAACAACATAAGGGACAGCCAGGGTAGCAAACACGTGGGTCATACTGAGTTGACATCAGATTAAAAAGGACTGTTAAACTGTCAAACAAAGACGTTTCATTTTGCTTAATACTTCACTTCACTTCCTCTCTTTCCTCCAGCTTTCCCTCACATTGGGATTAAGAAATGAGAGGGGGAAGCGTGTGTCTCCAATTTAGGAAGGCGTAGGGATGGACTGGATATGGGGACGGACATGAGAAAATAAATTTACTTACACATTACAAGAAAGTACGAAAAAGAAACCTCTAATGTTGGAATATTGTAAAAAAACAAAAACTGTCTTAATCCATTCTTTAACTCCAGCTTTAAAAATATAGTCATAGCAAAGCAGGATTACTAGTTATGTCATTTTATTTAAAAAAAATTAAATAAAATTAAAAAATAAATAAATAATAAATAAAAAAAAGAATATACATATATATATTTAATTTTTATTTGTATTATTTTTATTTAATTAATTTTTTTTTTTTTTTTAAATCAATGTCTTTGTTCGAAGCAGGTTACACATTGGGGTAAATGTGGACTGGCATCATGTTGCTCCAGACCACTGCAACCTGTATGCCAAAGAAAACGAGACTGTGGATCAAACAACACACGATCCTTGATGCTGGTGTGAGCATCTTTGCGCTTTCCTCTTCTTTACTGTAGTTGTCTCACTCTTTTACAAGCACCAAATCTGAAAAATGACAGCTCGAGAACCCTCACTAGAAGGACAAAAGGCTGACCCTCTCCACATAGTGCTGAATTATCAGTTACCTTTTATACTGTAACTATGTGAGCACTGACTGAATCCTTTAAACCAGTTGGATTTTCAAACAGCAGAGCAGGTTGAAAAGCTCATTGAGAAAGTTCAGTTTTGGGCTGAAATTGTGTTTATTTTTTTCCACAGATGCTTTGACTTGTTTTCCCGCGTTTTTTTATTGGCACAGGGTTCAGAATCAGCTCTGATTATAAACTCGATGGCCATTCCATGTCTGTGGTGACCAATGGTCTGTTCGACCACAATGGATGCTGGGAAATTTGCCAGCACGACGGGCCTTAAAATGCTGAAATTGCATTTATGAAATGACTTTCAGCCTCAGTCTCCAAAACAAGTTCAACAAGGAGCCTTTAAGATGGATAAGCCACCCAGGTTTGTCGCCATGGGAACGGCTAGGGGTGTAAACATGGCCAGTGTCTGATGGACAGAGATTAAGCTCATCTGCTCTACACCTGGAGGCCACCCTCAAACTAACAACAAGCATTCCAATTTAAAGGAAGAAAAAACACTAAAGCTGCTTTAACAGCAAAAAATAAATACACAAGACTTGTTGAGAATTTTTTTTACTGTCATGTGAAGTATAAGCGTATATTTGCACAGACTTATTTAGACTTTAGACTTAGTGCTTAAACACCACAATGTGACTCAGTAATTAACACATCAAGAGGGAATGCAAGCCTCAGTGTTTTGCTGAAGGACACTCTGAAACGTGGTCCAGAGAAGGCAAGGATCAGCTTTAACTCCCCAGCCAAAGCTGCTTTAGATGTAGGTTTGTCTAAAAAAACTGTGAAGACCAGCCAGAAAAAACAGGAGGGGCTTAACGTAGGACACCGCTGACATTTTCCATAATGCACAATACTCAGGACACGCCCCCATTACTAATTCATAAATTACAGGCCGATTCCTCAAGGACGGCCGAGATGAGGATGGAAAGTGACAGGCATCGAGGAAACCTCCCGACTCGGAGGCACACACACACCTGCTCCTCTATCATTAGCTGTGAAAACAACAAGAGCAATACTGTAGATGTGATTACACCGTTCATTTATCAGTTTGGCACGGTAAAAAAAAAAAACACGTGCCCGTCGCCTTCCGCAGACACTCGACTCTTTATTAGGATGTCCATTAGTGTGAGTGACGGGCAGATTAAAGGAGGTGAGCGGATCCACCCGTCCGCTCGAGTGTGACCAAATTATTTTTAGCTCCACAGGTGTTCGGCTTTGGTGTGGGATAAACAAAAAGCCAAAGGCAGAGAAGGGGGTGATGACCTCTGGAACAACCGCGTCTTCCCTTGTGACGCGTTGATGATGGATTAGAAAGCCAAACGCGGCCGACAATGTGATGAGAACCACACAGACTGGAGCGGTCCTCTTCCCGAAGGAGTCAAAGCCAGCCGCCGGCTTTCCAGCCTGCTGGTTGTCTAATACAAAACCTTAGGTAGAGCTCTCTGGAGGCTGGGGGGGGGGTGTGGGTACCGGTGTAACAGTGAGTTTGTCAGTGGGGATGTCAGTCAAAGCAACACGTCATTGTGCTGGCTGACAGCTAGCTGAGAGCTACAGCGTTCCTATTAAGACGGGACGCCGCCGCCCCGGTGCCCCCCCCCCCCCGACTGAGTGGTGGGATAACAGGGATTTCATTTGCAACACTCCGTCACAACGCGGAAATGGCTGTCGGGCGTCCCGCCGCACAGCAAACGCTCTCTGGTGGCCTCTCCAAACCACACGGGAGGCTTTGTGGACTTAGTGTTTCAGCGGTATGGGGTTTATTAATGAGCAGTGCTTGTTAACTCAGACGTGCAGAGAGGAGAGAGGAACAGCGCAACCAAAACTGGAATGAGGTGCTACTCACTAGAGACACATTACTGGGAAAAAAACTCAAAAGATGTCAGAACTCCTGCGGCAGCTTGGGGCTCCACCCACATCCAAGCTGGATGACTGATCCACACATTTGGGAGGCCTGTGGAACCAGACTGCCTCGTGCGACACAAACTGAAAACAGGAGGCACTTAAATAGTCTTAAACAGCTCTTTTTAACTCATCCATTTATTTCCCGCTTGATTCCTACATTTCTGAGTTCCCACCGGTAAGCGACAAATAGATCCAGTGGGAGAAACACTAGAAAAGGAACGGATAAGAAACAAAGAATGCCGTGAAGATATTTTTTGTGACAAAATAAAAGTCGGAAATGGCTTCTGAGCCTTCTGTAAGGGCAGAGTAAAGTCAGGTAAACAGAGGCCAGAAGGCCCTCAGCCCTTCCGCCGGTAATCCGGTCCTCCCCTGTGCGGGGGGGGGGGGGGGGGGGGGGGGGTGGTCAGGTCCAGCCTGTCTCCGCGTGGTGGTTGTCTTTGTTCATTATTCATATGAAGTTAGTGCCATTACTCACTTTAAAAGCTGAGGCCGACTTTTGTCTTGAGGCTGTAGTTTTCAGCATTATCAGGTGCCAGCGCAGCACAGTCAGGCGGGGGGGCGATAAAGGCCTTTCCTTTTAAGGTTGAGAGGGCCTGGCTCCTTTGTGTTTTTACATGCTAACCAAGTACACGCTATAAATGTTCTAGTGGAAGGAAAATAGGAGAACAGCTCGCTTCAAATCAAACCTCAGCTTGAGCTGTCACCTCAGAGTATCTGCAAATATTATCTCCGATACGTTCAACCAATAAAAAAAAAAAAATGAGGTCGAGATAATCTATCAAGCACCTACAGAGCTGACACCGTGTTATATGGACACAGTTCCATCTATAGAAGTATTGATCCAAAGAAAAGGCAGTCTGCTCACAATTGTCTGGTGTGAGAGCCAGTACGGTGCATAACCCAGCTTAACTTGAGAAATGTCAGTCTCTAGTGTAAACACACACACCGATACGTACACACAGATACTTGTGGAGATATACCACACCAACCTCATCAAGTTCAGAGATGTAGACAGGCTTCTCTTCAAAGCCAACAGGCATGGGTTCATTGGGCGGGATCTCCACCTCCTCATACATCTTGTTGTTCTCTCTGCGGATTCCCTCGGGCAGCATCAACTGAATGTCACACACAAAAGGGAAGAACAAGCTCAGGCCGGCCGGGTAACCTCAAAGAACACAGAAGTCCTGAAGGACGTCAGGTCCCAAAAAGCTGGAGAAATCTATTCGCTGTGTATGAAGAGTTTTATCGTCATCACAATGCACGCGTCTGTTACAGCTTTTCTGTGAGAGCGAGAGTCAACGTTTAGTGGGTTTCATGGCAGGAGTGTGGTTTGGTTATGTGGATTCTAAGATTCATCACTTTGATAGTAAATGCGAGCAGTAGGGGTTGGATCAAAGCGAGGTTTTGGGACCATCTGTTGGTTTCCTTAGCCAGACGACTTTCTTTAAACTGGCTCCGTATGCAAGAAATTGACTCGTTTCACATATAATGACTTGGATTTGGTTGGATTAGGTATGGATTACAATTAATTGAACTCTAGTTGTTTTGGCGGGACTACTTTTTCTTATTGCCTTGAGAAGAAATGTGTTGTGATCTTTAATTCCAAAAGAAAACATGAGAAACTACCCGGGTCGTTTGTAGTACTAAACGTTGAGCACTCTCGGGGGTCAAATCACATCCCATCTTTCCAAATGGTCTTCATTTGTTTCCATTTTGATACTTGTGATTTGAGACATACCGTATAAAAGGGGAATTGAAAAGAGATTAGGTAGCCAAAGCTTACCCTCGCCCCCCCAACGAAGGCTGGAGCTTTGGTGGCTTCTGCATAGCAGTCGTAGACGTTGGGATACCGGATCCGCTCGTACACTCGATCTCTGCTCAGGACAGGTTCACAGCGTGCCGTCAGCAGCGCATGCTCTCTAAAACAAAATGAAAAAAAATCGAAAAACATGTTTACATTGAATATTTAGAAAGGATTAAAGCATGTTTTAATGAGCATCTTAAAAGTATATCCAATTTTAGCCAAATCTGAGCCATGGTTTTCACCCAGTTTTTGCTTTAAAAATAAGTAGCAGCATTGATGGATGACTAAAAGAGGGAGGCAGGCGTGAGGCATTATGCTCCCCTGAAAAGTGGCTTACCTCTCCCCTAATCTTTCCTCTCTCACAACAGTGGATTTGACCATGCTCCGTTTTTAATTAAACAGATCATTGCCTTTTTTTTTTTTTTTGCTTCTCTTGAAATGAAACTTTCTGAAGAATCCTTCACGAGAAAACATATAGGACAAGCTGCAAAGTCGTCGTGTTCTGCTTATTTTCACAGCTCTCCTGTAGGGTTGTTTTTCCCTGTTTTTTTGTTTTTTTCATGCTGCAGCCGTGTCATGAAAAATGCAGGAGCATGTCGGGTTTGTTGTGCACGCCTTAGACCACAGGCAGAGATGGACAGACAGAGAACAAAGAGAAATAACACAAACGGGAAAGAGAAGGTTTGGAGATGCTATACCGCTGGGCTCTCATCTCTCTGGGGTCAAAGGTCAGGCCGGCATCTGAGGGGTCGACATCGTCGGTTCCTTTGCCTCTCTTCTTTTCTCTCTTTTCTTCTCGTCGATACATTTTCATCATTTGCCTCTCCTTCTCTGACTGGACGGTCACCTGACAGCCATAGGCAGGCTTACTGACTTCACCGCTGACCTTTCTGCTGATATCTGAGGGAGATGGACACAGCCAGTGATAAATGACAAAGAACAATCAAAAGCTTTATCTGCAATGATCTAAATGGCTCTCCTTTTCGATTAAAGTAGAGATCAATATGAAAAAAAAGTGAAGTACCCAAAACATATAGGCTCTCATACAAATACTCATAAAAATTCCACACTTTTAAATGCAAAATAACAATTATTGCAAATTTTTTAAAAGTCTAAAACACACAATGCCAAAGTTGCCTTTTTTAAGTCTTTCATGCCACTGGAATAAATGTGAAAGCAGCAGACTGAGATTTCCGAAAAGAGAAATCAGCCATGGACCCCCGTACCTACGTATATTGAAGAGAGTTCTATATCAATTGGGAGCAAAATGGAGTTAATTTTAATTCTTTAAAAAAGAAAATCACACAAAACCTTAGGAAGAAGGAAGTGAAATTGGTGAGACACACACAGAAATAACTATCTTCCCCAACAGATAATTCTGCCGGTTAAAATGATGGATTTCCCTCAAACAAGGCAGTTAACATGAGAACAGGTTTTTCGGGGTCCATGCAAACAGGTCCAGTTTTGAATGAGGAAATTGACCATATATGTGAACATTTCAGATCATCACTCAGTATTCTCTCCTCTGCCTCTGGGTCATCCTGTCTTGCTCCTGCAGGGAGGTTAAGGCAGCTGGGGAGAATGCAGGAGTCCAGCTCGTGTCGGCCAAAGGGGCCAGGAGGCCAGTGCTCAACACCCATCTGGGATTACACACCACGGCTTCAACCCAGCACTGAGGAAGACCTCTTCGCTTGTTGGAGCTCCTAAAAATCCCCTTAATTTGCTCCCACCCGACCACTGACCTGTGGGTTAGCAGAGGACTGAGCTACGTCCACCAAAAAGACAGACGGATGGCACAACAACCTGGAACACGGACTGAACTGCAAATGGATCCTAGTTTGTCTAGCTTCACTATGCACATTCCAGTATAACTCCCATCACCTCTCATTCCAGAAATGTTGGTCACTCCCTCTGTGACAATGGGTGGACACTCATCTCGACACAAATAAGACTAAATAAATTACGTAGGATTTTTGGAGAGCCACGAACAATCAAACCCTATTTCTATACATTGAGAGGAACAATCTAGATAGCTGAGAGTTTCTGAGGGCTTTGGAATAGACTGGAAATGCAATACTAAGTCAGGAAGACACACCACAGTGTATGTTCTCCAGGAAAACAAGAGCACTGTTTTGCATAAAAAGTGGATTAAGGAATGAAAAACAAAACTTTACGAGGTCAGAAAATGAAGCAGTGTCGTTGATAATTAGAGCTGGGGAGCTCGGCAGCCCGTGCGGGTGGCGTGGCACGGGTTAAGGATCCCTGCGGCAGCCTCCCTGTTTGAGACACAACAGCTCAATAAAAGGCAGAATTGCTCTTGAAAACAGATGAGATCTGATGATTGGAGCGCGGCCCGGCCTGATTGACTGAATGATTTCTTCTTTATCTGGCAGAGCGTCTCTACCTGCTGCTCAG